TTCTGAATTTCGCAGATTTTTTAATAAGATTTTAATATAATTTAACCAAGTTTTACTTTTACCATTTAGATGTCTGTTTAAACTTTGGATTTCGTCTAACAACCTTAATCATGATAAATACAATTTTTTAAATAGAGAATAAAGTTTACATTTCTTATATAAAGAAGAATTGAAAATTTATGAGAAGGAAATTTCTTTTCTTCTTCTTCTGCTTATAACATTCATTAAATTTTAAATGATTAAGTCTTTCATTTAAAAATTATATATTCCAAAGGTTGGGTATATGAATAAATTTGTTTGATTGGTTACATTCTAAAAGTCGTGTTCTATGCTGATTATCAGAAGTTGGAATTAAATGCATGATATGTGCTAAATATGACTGTTTTTAATCATTATCTATGGAAAGGATTATTATTATCCAAACTCCAACCCAAAATAAACATGGATTTCTTTATACAAAACCAACTGGGAATATGTGTGGCCCGAAAGATCATAAAAGGTAAACATAAGGTTGCCATCCCACTGGTGATGTAGGATTAGGGTTAGTGTAAAATTAAAGTTGGTTATTAAAACTAATAGCCACATTACATTTGTACTAAGCTTTTTTGAATGATGTTGATGCTGGTCAAAGATCAAGGGAACTTTTGCCAAGAAAAATGTGATTATCCAACATTTACGAAAGGAAATAGAAAGTGTGGCAGAAAAAAAAATGAAGAACGCACTTACTTAGTGTTAACTTATACGCATTGCCTTTTGGCTCTTTTTACATGTTTATTGGTAAATACATCACATGACAAAATAAAGACTAATGCCATCTATTATTTCGTAGTTCTTGCCTTCTAAAGTTTTTATCATACCAGAGGAAACTTTTTACATGGCCAATATGGATAGGTCACTATAAAAGTGATGATAGTCGCCATCATCACAAACTTCCACTGGCTAGTAATTTCATAGACATGAATCTTCCTTAGCCCGAAAAACTTTAATTTAATGCTTTGAAATCACATTCATGTGGTTTGAACTTGGGAGAATTCTAGTGCTATCGTACCTTGGTCGAATTCACGTACCGAAACTTCCAAAAGTCTATGGATTTATTATTCTACAATGATACCTACAGAGATATCCAAGACTTTGCCAATGTTTCGTTTATTACAACGGGAGCAGAAGGAACTAACGAACCTTCTTGTTGATTAGATATATCAGCTAAAAGGTTGGCGAACCTTCTTACATAATTACCAATCAATGAGATAATATCTCAAAGTATTTTTAGATGCTATACCCAGAACACGAGCATATTTTTATTATATAAATTATCGTTAGATAATCTAACTATTTAAATCTGAAAACCATTGACAAATCATAAAAATTAAGAAAAGACCAATGAATAATTTTAAAGTAAATTAGATATATAAGCGTAAAGAAGTGAAAAAATGCAGCAAAACAAATTTAAGCAAAATGCAGGTACACAAATTAATTTTATCGACACAACGACGATCTCCTGCGGCGAAATTTGCAAAATCTGCCGGGGTCCCCCTTGATTTGAGTACAAAAGTTAGGGTTATTCTTATACTGCGAATATCTCATTTATTCTTCAATCTTTCTAATTTATAAGAAATGTGGTACGCGAAAAAATATGATTCTCACCAAGGTATTATATAAAAAAAATAGCCTTTATGTGTTTTGCGATGAAAATATTAGTAGAATTACTTATACTTTACGTTATAATTTCCAACCTTGTAAGAAATGTGGTACGCGAAAAAGTATGATCCTCTTCAAGGTAATTTGAAAAATAATCGTGTTTTTCTTTTTTAAATTTACAATAATATTTATTTATTTTTAAATAGCGGGAAGCATCGATGGTACAGATACTGTACCACATGATCATGGAATTTTACGTGCACAGAACTCAATTTGTAATATTATATATATATTTATATATTATTTTTTTATACAATTTAAAAATTCGTGACTAATATTTTTTGAACTTTTATCAAGATGTACCCCCTTCAGATAAAGACGATGTCACTAGTGATCCATTACATACAATATTTGTTGGACGATTAAACCCAGAAACTACCGAAGGCGAGTAATCTACAAAATATATTTATTTTTTTAACTTAAAGACTAATACATTTTTATACATATTTTAGAAACTTTAACACGAGTTTTTGAAGAATTTGGTACAATCAAAAAGTTGCGGATTGTGCGCAATATAGGTAAGATTAATGAAATGTTTTCTTTTTTTTAAAAAAAAAAATCAATAAATTTGTTAATCCATGATTATGATAGTGACTGGCGATTCTCGAGGTTATGCTTTTATTGAATTCCTTCACGAAAGGTCTTGTCAAGAAGCTTACAGAGTAAAACTATTATAATGACACGAATTAATAAATCAAAATAAATAAACCTAATATTTAACTAAACATTTTATACAGTATGCATACAGGATGTCAATTGATGGCCGTCAAATTTTAGTTGACTACGAAAGAAATAGAATGATGGAAGGATGGATTCCAAGACGAATGGGAGGCGGTTTTGCTGGTCGAAAAGAATCAGGACAACTTCGTTTTGGAGCAAGAGATCGACCATTTAAACGGCCTTTGTAAGTTAGATATAAAGAAATTAAATCTATAATTATTAATTAATAACATTATATTTAATTACAAAGGAACGTAGCGGTAAATCAATACATGCCCGAAATCCTTCCTGATCAACGATTCGATGATTGTTGGCGCCGTAAAACTGATAAAGGAGACACAAATACTTCATATATAGCAACACCAAATTATCGGTCCGAATTTCAATACCCCAAAAGTTCTCATTTCAGTAGACAAGATAAATCAAATGTAACTGGAATATCGAATAATCAGAGGTCTCCACGACATCGGCACAGTAGTCGTCATAGAGAAAAATCAGAACATCGAAGGTCAAGAAGTCGCAGCCCATACAATAAGGATAGGTATTCGGATCTAGGTAACCATATACATAATAGAGGAAAGTATAAAAGCCACAAGAGGCGCAAAAATAATCGAGATTATGAGCATCGCAGATGACATTGATTATGTCACAAATCAATTAACACTCTTATTCTTTGTTCTTTAAATTGTTTCCTTTATGGTCATTTTACGTAAATATGATGTGTTATCTATGCGCATTTTTTTTAAGGCTAAACATTTTTAGTAATGATATACATCGATGGTTCTTTTCGAAATTCGCCAAAGAAAATCAAAAAGAACAGTCACACAAAAAAGGAATAATTTGATATTTCCTTTTTAAATCATACATTATAAATTACTATGCATATTTGCTAGTCGTTATGGCGCAATTTATTTAATTTAGATGAGGGGGGTAATTCTACGAAATTAGATGATTGAAAAAATGTTTTACTAATACAAGAAACCAAAAAAAAAGAGACATTAAACTTATTCTTTTAGGAAAAAAAATAATTCCATTAAATAAATGTATATATAGAATGTAATAATACTAAATATCTGTACAAAGCAAACGAAAAAAAAACCTAATTTACTGTAACAAGTCAGATACCAAATTAAAACGATCTATTAAGTAATAATAAAATATAGTAATCTTATACGAGTCCATCATACAAACTTAAAGCTTGAACAATTGTAGGATCTCTTTTCGAACCCTCTTGGAATTCTTCCATACTAAGTTTACCATCATGATTCTAACGATATCACAGAAATTTTTCGTTAAATTTTATTGAATTCAAAGGAATAAATAAAGAAATTGATTTCTTCCTTACCTTATCCATTAAAGTAAATATTTTATTGACACGCTTTTCGGGTGTATCTTCATCAGCTGGCAATTTTACCATACTACCAACCATTTTGTATATAGCATCTACAATTTTTAGCATCTCATCGTGCGTTATGAATCCATCATTATCGATATCATAAAGCTGGAATGCCCCTGTGTATTGAAAAATATTTAATATCGATTGAAAATTTATACACAATTATAAGAAAGTAACTTACATATTAATTTTTCATCTAATTTTCCTCGAGAAGTAACCGATAATGCACATATAAACTCCTTAAAATCTATCTTTCCATTTTTATTTTCATCAAATACATCGAATACGTATTCAGCGAATTTCGAAGGATCTCCAAAAGGAAAGAATTGTTTATATATTTTTTGAAATTCTGTTTTATCAAGTTCACCAGACGGACAGTCTTTTAAAAAACCTTTATACCTACATTATTGAAGCTTTTCATATAAAGGCAACAAAAAAAAAAAAAAAAAAAAAATTTTAAAGGAGAAATCAACTTACCATTGTTGAAGTTCATTTTTGTTGACTTTTATTCACAAGTAATTAAGTAATTTAGTAATTTGATAAAATAAATATACAAAAAAAGAAGAATAAGGATTTGACAAAACAGGAAATGTTAAAAAGAAAAATACATACATTTAGTACACCGTTGTAACTCCCTTAATTGGTCTTCACTAAGTTTACTATTAGATTTACCCATTGCTATTTAAATACTTTGTTTCTTTGTAATTGAACAAATAAAATAAAAGGAAATTGATTTATGAGATGGAACGGATTTTTGGTCGAAAAAGAATAAATATAATTCACCATTTTATAATAATTCTACAAGGAAGATTCCTGCAGAAATTCTTTGTTGTGCAAAAATTTTTTATGATAAAATTCTAAATACAGATTTTGTTCACAACATGAATGAAAACCCGGTAAATGGGTATTACATCAGGTCGCCACAAATTGGCAAATGTTATTCTAATAATTATCATGTGGTGTATTATTGGATTTGTTTGATCTTATTGGATGGATTATCTTATACAAATAAGTGGATTGGATAATAGATTTGTGATTTTAATAAAAAAAATGGTTTTAACGCTATTTATATTAAACCAAAAAATTACTCAATCATATATTAAAGTTTTTTGATTTATCATCTGAAGAAATCTCTGATAATAATATTGATTTATTAGTTTATCATAAATGTATTATTGAAAAAATAATTCTATAAGAATAGCTTATAGGTGCATAAGAAGGATATATAGTATTTGTTGGGGACATTTTAGAATAACAAAAACTACATTTAAATGGTTATATTACCTTTACTATTATAAAGAAACAACTTAAATGATGCTTCAAGAATTTTAAGGTTTCATTAACTTTATAGTTTTTAGCTACTGGTTAAAGTTATCAAATACTTAGACAATTATTTGTATTAGAAGAATCAACTATATGTTATTATTAAAATTATGATTAAATTTTATTTTCTAATAAATAAAATATGAACATATCAGCTGATCAGAAAAATTGTGCCTAATTATATGCTTATATTTTGTTATATATGACATAAATCATATGTTTTTAGTAGCTAATCATAACCAATCATTAAGGTTGTTTGTCTAAACTCATTTTGGATTTGGCTAAACGTTTAAACCTTTAATTTCACTAAATTTTACTAAGTGTTTGATATAGTTTCATCATTTTTATAAGCTTTAATATAGTTTTACCTTTTTTTAAATTTCGCAGATTTTTTAATAAGGTTTTAATATAATTTAACCAAGTTTTACCTTTACTATTTAGACGTCTGTCCAAACTCTGGATTTTATCTAGCAATGTTATCAATCACCAAATATCTCCTTTAAATTTTGTTATTTCTTTAAATAAAAATATTTTAATAAGTAAAAAAAACCGAGTAATTGATCAAAAAAAAAAAAGGAACTGATCAAAAAATTTTAAATAAGAAATAAAATAAAATATTCTTTAATTTATTTTTAAATTTTTAAAAATATATCAAATAATATTATTTTGTTTAAAAATAAACTTGAAAAACTTAATTTAAAAATAATTACTAGCATACTTTTATTTTTAATGTTAAATAATACAGTTTGTAATAAGTTAAAATGTAAAATATATAAAAAATCTATAAAAAATATAAAAACATTTTGGTTTAACTAATTATATAATAATAATTAAAGTAGCTAATACTATAAAACTAATAGTATATGAATTGAATAAAAGAATAATTGAAGAAATATGATAAATTTTAGTTTATAATATGAAGGAAAAATTAAAATAATTTAAAAAATATTGGGAATATATAGATTATAATTAGTTGAGAAGTATACTACTTTTAATATAATTATATTAAAGAGTGATATATTACTTAAACTAAGTTATATTATCACTTTATAATCTGGGTACTTTATAATCTAAATATTACTCTATAATCTAATTTTTATAATTTAAATACTATTCTTTAATCTAATTATTATAATTTAATTACTATCCTTTATCCTACTTACTTTCTTTTAATAACTATTTTTTTTATTCTCTAACTATTTTATATTGATATATTTTTATTACCATACCATTTATAATTTAATTTTTATTCTACTTTTTTTTCTAATTATCTTTCTTTTTTTTTGTTTCTATTTTATTTTAGGATTGGATTCTTTCTTGGGAATGCTAGTCTTCTATATTTATTTAGATATTAGTTTTTGCTAAAGATGGCACTGTAATTAAGAAGTTGCAACTTGGGTTGCAACTGGTTGCAACTCCTTGCAAAATTTATTTTAATAAAAAAATTTATAAATAGTTGCAACTCAATGAGTTGCAACTTAAGTTGCAACTAGCTAAAAATTTTAAAATTAATTACAGCTCTATCTTTAGTTTTTGCTATAATCTTTTATTATCAAATTGTTGGCTAGTTTATTTTCTAATATTAATTATATCTTTTTTATTACTAAATTATATAATTCTAATTAATCTACTTTTGTATCCTTTTTATTACTTTATTATAGTTCACTTGTTAACTTACTTTTGCATTTTTTTTTATTTTCAAATTATAAGTCAGCTATTAGGTGATAAAAAAAATATTTATATGGCTTCTTACATGCTTATATCATTTTTATTAATTTGTGTACAGCTCAAATGTGTGTCAGGTTATGCCGATTATTAGGCTTAAAGTATGTGACGCATTTTTCAAAAAAAAAGCATCTAAGTCAAATTTTACTATAAAAGCCCAACCTGTCGCCTTAAGTAACTTGCAATACAAGCAAAAATACACCTATATATATAATATTTAAGTCTAAATATAATGTTTATTAAGGTTTGGTTTCAAAAAGAAAAAAAAATTGTAGAAAATTATCTGTGACGCATGTATGTTGATCATTTTCAAAAAAGTATTTTTTTAGCATAATCTGACACACATTTGAGATATGCTTAATTTGTTATATGATTGTTTAAGTTCTAACTAGGAATGCTAATGTTTACTGTTATAACCGGTCATGACTGGTCATACCGTAACTAATATCGGTCAGTTAAAGATTTCTGACCGACTGGTTGACCGACTGATTTGGATTGATTTGGACTGACCGTTTGATCAAACATTTTTTAATTAGTAATCCAAGAATTCTTTACATTTAATTAACAATTATTTTATTTATGCAGTTTTTTATATATAAAAATTTTTTCAATTTATTTGTTAAAAAAAAATTGCGATAATTCTGTAAATATATAAGTAATCTTAACATGCATATCGAATTAGTCTAAAGAAATAAGAAAAATTCAGAGTTTTATCAAATACCATGTTAGCATTATTTAAAGCTTAAATTAAAATTAATGATCAAGAACTTTAAATTATATTATTGTTATATGGGCTGGTCAACTGGTCAATATAATTAGTCAGTCAGTCAAAGGCCTTTGACTAACTGTTGACCTAATCTTTAAAATGAGATTTAAATTGATTTATAATTCGAGATTTATAAAACATTATATGAAATTATATTATATAAAAATAGGTATACATTTAATATGGATTAGATATAATCTTTTTTAATAATATTATATAAAATAAAAGACAACTATATTTTTCTTAGATATGAATTCATATAAGGGATCTTCTATTATTTTTATATAATAAATTATGCAGAAAACTCATATAGGAATGTTTTTAGTAAAATTCAGTCATGAGTAAAAATAGTTCCCATAATTATTTTTAAAATTTTTAACTAGTTGCAACTTAAGTTGCAACACTTTGAGTTGCAACTATTTATG